TTCCTGCTCCTCTGATGCTGCTTGGCCTGCTGTGTTCATGCAGCTCTACACCTTGTAATCTCCGATTCTCCAGCATTGGCAGTTCCTACTATCTCAGATAATGGAACATTTTGTCTTCGTTATTCAGTGGAATCAGAGAGAGTGGGACTGGCAGAATCTAAGTGAAAGACTTCCAATGTTGGTACAATACCTTCATTCTCATGCAAGCCAGGGACTTTCAAATCTTTGACTTTGCTTTATTTGGCCACATATAACATCTCGTATTACCAACATTTTGAGTGATTGAGTGTCTTGTGAAAATGTCAAGGTGGATGTGACCTTAACTCAGCACATACAAATAACCGAGTAGTTCTAGGCTTGTTTTGGTGTGATCAATGACATGCCCCTATTCGGACACCAGACAGGTTTCTTTCTGCGCCCAGTAACAACAGTCGTCAATATACAAACCCCGGTGCTTACACAGCCCAACCTTATTGTGGGCAGTTCCCTGTTTTAAAGCAAACAGGAAGTTGTTCAGTCCTGTGAACCTGTCCTAGCTGGAGTGACATAGGTCAAACGTGGTTACTTGGCCTGCTGTGTTCATCCAACTCTACACCTTGTTATCATAGGTCAAACATTACCCATTTGACTAATGGAAATTCTGGTTGGCTGGGATAGATATAATGGATGTGCCAGAAGACCAATGGTGAGAGGGAGGACAGGGAAATGTCATGTGATGAGACCTCTCAATATTGGCCATTCAGAGCCATTGGTAACAATTTTGAGGCAAGTTGGAATTTGTCCCTGTGGATTGCACAGAGACGGTGCGATGGTGTAAGTGAAGGAACTGAGGGGAATTTTAACCCAAGTGGCAAAATCTACAGGATTGCTGGAATACCAGTCTAATGTCTTGGAGAAAATGATTCAGGGAGATGGTGATGGAAACATGCACTCACCCCCTCTTGCACTGATCTGATGGCCTCCTCCAGCTGGTTGGATCTATGATGTCACCAATACCCCTAACGCACCATTTTCCCTCTACCATCCTTTCTAGCACGACACCTATGAGGATAGATTGAAGAAATTGGGACTGCTTTCTTCAGAGAGGACGGCTGAGAGGCGATTTCACAGAAGGTTTCAAAATCATGAGTGGCCTGAGCAGAGTAGACAGGGAGAAGTTGTTCCAGCTCATAAAAGATTTAAAGTGGTTGCAAATGAAGCAAGGTTGAAGTGAGGAAAAACTTTATTCTGCAGTGAGTGGTTAGGGTCTGTTAACGCACTGCCTGGAAATATTTTGTAGGCAGATTCGATTGAGGCATTCAAGAGAGGATTGGATAGTTATTTTGATAGAAATGATGTGCAGGGAAATGGGGAAAAGGCAGGAGACTGGCACTCGGGGATAGAACAGGTGCAGGCACAATGGGGCCGAATGACCTTTCTGTAATTCTGATACTGTGAAACCTAATGTCTCTGAACTTCAACCCAACATCAACCTGTCCTGTCAGCTCCCTGTTTGTACCTCTCCCAGTCCACCTAACCCTGAAAATCCTTCACAAACACCACAGTTTGAAAAACAATGCACTAAATCAACAACTGGAAGAAACTGTGTTTAACACGAGACAGAAAGCATTGATTTAAACACTCTGTAGTTCCAGTGGGAGCTCAAACTCTCAGCAACTATTCTACTGAGGGGCAAAAATCCTCTTCCACTGTGTTCACTAAAGTGACAAAGACCTTCCTGCGGGGTTGGACCTGGTTTAACCCCAGTACCTCATCCTCACACACATTCCAGAAATGCCAACCTTTAATGGGGCAGTTTCTTTTCTGACAGTTTGGCAAGATTCCTGTCTCATGCTCAGCAATGTCCCCTCCCCTCCCCTCCCCTCCCCTCGCTGTGCCATGACACACTGACACTGAAAGGTGGAACACTGCGTTGCTGCGAGCAGACTGATTGATTTATTTATAAACTCTGTGAGATAACCCAGCTCCGGCTCTCTGGTTTAAAAAAAAAGCACGGAGGGACGCATGCGCCCAGCCTGTTTGTTTGGGAGTGAAATGGAGTGAGTGAGTGAGTGAGGCAGGGAGCTGCAGTGGGATCTTGCTGTGCGGAGTGGGGGAGGTCGGCTCGCACTCGCACGGAGCCAGAGGGAAAGCTGCTCAGGGACTGCCCGCTGCTGATCCAACTCAACCCTGTGCCCAGGCTAACAGCATGCGGCTGTGCACCCTGAGTGCTATACTGCTGGCTACAGGTAGGGGAGGGAGGGAGGGAGAGAGAGGGGTGCAGGGAGGGAGGGAGGGAGGGAGAGAGAGGGGTGCAGGGAGTGAGGGAGAGAGAGGGG